TTATTGAATGAAACCAAAAAATCCGGCGATTTTGGTGGCCGTTGTGCGCTGGAAATGAAGCAAGGAACCTCATCTTGTAACCATTCTTGGGTGGCACGTGCTGAGTGCGATGGTGCTGAGTCCTTTTGGAATGTCCAAGGTCTACGGCCAAAATGTTTGCGTACTTAAGGCTTTTATACAACCTTCACAATATTTTCGCTATAAAATTCAGCATTTATTCTGATGCTAGGTCGGCTAATACGAGCGGAGAGCACCCATCGGCTGTTACGGCGGTCCATACCATCAACATGGCTTGAATTCTGGTGGCCAACCGAAGTTGCATATTTTCAGCTGACCTCTTTGGCAAGTAAACACGATCATTTTATTTGTTTACAAACTGCTGGACAACGAATGTTTTCTCATTGGAGTAAACCAAATTCGACAGTTCACAACTTTCGGCCAAGCGAAGCAACTGCTTTGCTCTTTTGATTCTATTTTCTTTTTGAATGAATTTTTTTTAATTTCAATGGCTTTACCCCGAGCTCATTTTTCCATATTTGCCGAATGGAATATTGTGATATGTTCAGCTCACGAGCCATTTCTCGACCACTGCGACGGGTTTCGAACAATTTCTGCTGATGTTGCTGTTTTCTTCCGTCCACTTCCTTGACGTCGGGCTACTCTACCAGTATTTCGGTAACGAGCGATGGTAAGAGACATAAGAGATTTATTCACATTTAAATGCTGGAGTACTCTAACGATAGCCACTTGTGGTTTTCCAGCCAAATATAAAGAAATCACACTATCACGCTTGAATTCCATCACGAATAACTTTTTTTCTGGAAAGTTCTCAACAAAATGCTTTTGTACGCTTGTAAACAATATAATGAGCTGTCACTGGAATAATTTTAACAGCTGTCGGACGAGTCTTACCCTGTATTGTCCGTAGAAAACACTGAGACCTTCTTTAGAAATCTTCTATTCTCCATATGAGACCTCGATATCTCCTATAGTCTTTATGAGACCTAGACTGTCTTCTTCAGTACACATTAAGGTCTGCTATTGTCTACAGGAGACCTTGAGGTCTTTTAGATATCCTAAGATCCTTCTTGTTGCTCCCTTTTTAAAGGCTTTCTATACCGTTATCCTTACGTCATAATTTATTGGCTCTATCCTGTATCAATTCTCAATGATTGCATTTTATGTATTTTGTCGTTGTTGTTGCTGTTGAGTAAACCTCCTGCCCTCTTCTGCATCATGTGCTGATATAGGATACCCTTTCAAGAGTCGGCTTTTCCAACTATAGTATATCTTTTGAGATAAAAAAATGCATAAAGTTCAATATGATTTTCCGTTTTGTTGGTTTTTGTTTTTTCTCTCAGCCGGCTGTTGTGTGCTGCTCCAGGCACTGTTCTGGAGGGTGAGTGTAAGTGGGTAAATTTACATTTACTCGTGGCATAGTTGGCATTTTTGTGTGAGTTTTTTTTATTTTTTGTTACGGATTAGAAGCAGAAGGTGGAGGTGGCGGGCGATGGCAATGGAAGAAATTGTTTGTGGGCCGATGGTAATAAAAGTCAATGAACTTTTCATCACTGGCAACAAAATAAAATATTATACAATATATATGATTTTTTTTCAAAATTAAGTATGTTGTAATATTAAGTAGAAAAAAAAAACGAAAATAACAACTAGACAAACACGAAATCGTTTACATTGAACGTGCAATAAAATAATATAAACATGTCAGAAATTAGGAAAAAAATGAAAAAAGGATTTTATAGAGCCAATTGCTTTTATGTATTTGTAAGTATTTCTGAGGAGGAAATACCAATTTTTAAAATTTTAAGGGGGATTTATTGCTAAAATTTTAAGTAACAAATAAATAATTCGGATGAAATTTCAAAAATCATTAACTAGCAAATACAGGCATTGCAAGAATTATTTTAAGGCCTTAAATTTTCCAAATAACAAAGAATCTAAGTGTCCTTCGGCCGAACATTTCTTCTCTTCCTTTCTTTGTTGCTCTTCAATTAATATCTTATCAAAAATTTCCAATAACTCTAATCCATTTTCATTTATTCAGAAATACATAAATCATACACACACACTCACACCAATTATGTGTATTTGATTTCCAATATTTTCACTTTTACTGCTTCAATCGAGAATAATCAACCCCATAACTAGCCTTCAATTGGTGCCATCACCACACTTCCAGTCCATTATCCACATTAATGATGGGTTGTAAAAGCGGCATCGTCCATTTTCGCCCCGCTTTTCAAATGTTGATTACAATAATGAAAAAAATATATAAATGTTTTATAGCGTTGTCTTTAAAGGTCAATAGCTGATAACAACACTCTCGCTGACACACGCACATGTGCACAACTAACTAAACCCGGCAATCCAAAGACCGGCCCCCTGAGGGTGCAAACATCAATAAAAAGTGTTAAATGTTTGTTCAAGTTTATCAGAGACCCAGCGAACTAATGCACCAACAACCATTATTTGGGACGCTTCTTCTTGCTCTAGCGTGCTTCAGCTGTGATATTGACATGGGTCTATTTTTTTATTAGAGATATGGATGTTTTCATATCAATGTCAACACAAATATAAACGTTGTGATTTGTGCACTGCACTCCGAAAAAAAGTTGAAATAGTAGTCTCGTATCAACAACAGATCTGGAAGGTGTTTATTTTTAAAGACCTAAGGCCTTCTATAGGCAATAGAAGTCCTCACAAAATTCTACACAAATTAGAAGATCTAATGGCAATTGAACTTCTCAAGGACATCCATCGACAACAGGAAACCTAGCGACCTTATTTAGGTCTTCAATGGGCAACAAAAGATATTTCTTCCTTGGACAAAAGAAAACCTACTGGTCTTCTATGGACACAAGGAGACCTCCAGGCCTTATATGAGATTTCAATAACTTCAATGGACGATAAAAGACAACACAATTCTTCTATCAAGGTTTTCTATGGAGCAATAGAAGAGCTCAAGGTATTATATGGCGCAATAGAGAAGCTCAAGGTCTTCTATGGAGCAATAGGTGACCTCATGGTCTTCTACGTGACACTAGAATAACTAAAGGTCAAGGTGGCAATAGAAAAGCCACAATAGAAGAGCTCAAGGCCTTCTATGGGGCAATAGTCCTCTATTGCAAGGTCTTCTATGTGCAATACAAGAGCTCAGAGTCTTTTATGGCGCAATAGGAGAGCTCAAGGTATTCTATGGGTAATAGAAGAGCTCAAGGTCTTCTATGGGTAATAGAGGAGCTCAAGGTCTTCTATGGGTAATAGAGGATCTCAAGGTCTTCTTTAGCGTAACGGAGGTGCTCAAGGTCTTCTACGTGGTAATAGAGGAGCTCAAGGCCTTCTATGTGGCAATAGAAGAGCTCAAGGTCTTCTATGGGGCAATAGAAGTGCTCAAGGTCTTCTATGGGGTAATAGAAGTACTCAAGTTCTTCTATGGGGCAATAGAAGTACTCAAGGTCTTCTATGGGGCAATAGAAGTGCTCAAGGTCTTCTATGGGGCAATAGAAGTGCTCAAGGTCTTCTATGGGGCAATAGAAGTGCTCAAGGTCTTCTATGGGGCAATAGAAGTACTCAAGGTCTTCTATGGGACAATAGAAGTACTCAAGGTCTTCTATGAGGCAATGGAAGTGCTCAAAGTGTTCTATGGGGCAATAGAAGTGCTCAAGGTCTTCTATGGGGCAATAGAAGTGCTCAATGTCTTCTATGGGGCAATAGAAGTGCTCAAGGTCTTCTATGGGGCAATAGAAGTGCTCAGGGCCTTCTATGTGCAATGGAAGAGCTCAAGGCCGTCTATGTGCAATCGAAGAGCTCAAGGCCTTCTATGTGCAATAGAAGAGCTCAAGGCCTTCTATGGCAATAGAAGGGCTCAAGGCCTTCTATGTGCAATAGAAGAGCTCAAGGCCTTCTATGTGCAATAGAAGAGCTCAAGGCCTTCTATGTACAATAGAAGAGTTCAAGGCCTTCTATGTGCAATAGAAGAGCTCAAGGCCTTCTATGTGCAATAGAAGAGCTCAAGGCCTTCAATGTGCAATAGAAGAGCTCAAGGCCTTCTATGTGCAATAGAAGAGCTCAAGGCCTTCTATGTGGCAAAGAAGAGCTCAAGGCCTGCTATGTAGCAATAGAAGAGCTCAAGGCCTGCTATGTGGCAAGAGAAGAGCTCAAGGCCTTCTATGTGGCAAGAGAAGAGCTCAAGGCCTTCTATGTGGCAAGAGAAGAGCTCAAGGCCTTCTATGTGGCAAGAGAAGAGCTCAAGGCCTTCTATGTGGCAAGAGAAGAGCTCAAGAACTTCTATGTGGAAAGAGAAAAGCTCAAGGCCTTCTATTTGGAAGGAGAAGAGCTCAAGTCCTTCTATGTGGAAAGAGAAGAGTTCCAAGCCTTCTATGTGAAAAGAGAAGAGCTCAAGACATTATATGTAGAAGAGCTCAAGGCCTTCTATGGGACAAAAACATGAGCACAAGGCCTTATATGTGTAGTACTGTTACAATAGGCGCCCAACAGTTCTTCTATGGAGCAACTGGTCTTATACGGATAAAAGAAGACCCATAGGATAATAGAAGAGGTAATAAGATCTACAAAGGATAATAGAAGATCTACAGATCTTCTATAGATAATATAAGACCTATTGCCTATGGGGCAATTGAAGATCTCCAGATCTATTACGTGGCAATAAAAAATATATTAAATGTATTTTATTTACAGAAGACCTTCTTTAGGTTACTCTCTACAGAATACTTCTGCAGTCTGTTACCCTATTAATCATTCAAATGCTCTCCTTTGCCCATCAAGCTTTCTTTATGATAATGTTGTTTAACATCTGGCTTAACGTGTAAATCTCTGTGAGAAATCCATTTCCAGCCAACGAACGTTATTGACAATTCATTTGCACAAATCACAAATGTGTAAACATTGTGAAAATTTACTTGGCAACTGTCAACAAATGTCATTATTCAATTTTAATTATTTCACCCTTGCATCGGACTTACCTCGTTCGTCGACGCTCTGTGTCACAATAAATATTGCGGATGGTTGGATAGATTCGTTGCTATGCCAATACCTAGACCCGGTGTGTTATTATGCCGGGCTTTGCTTTGCGATATACTCCGGCGATCGATTCAATTAAATTCCTCGTTTTTAATCCGTTTATCCATCGATGGATGACTTAATGATGACATTCATGGCGCAAACACAGGAAATAACAAACAAACCCCGACCACAGCAGCTCGGTGATGATTTAAATTTTTTCGGTGTTTGTTGTTGTTGTTCGTTCGTTGTTTATTACTGCAGTGACAGAGCAAGAGAGCGCAATTTTAAAGAGTAACACACAACAAGAACTATGTGATATTTTTTTAAGAATTATTTTGTTGTTTTGTTTTTGTCGTTGTTGTTATTGAAATTGTTTGTAATTAAAGCACATACATTGACACACATACATATGTTTTCATGAAATATACACAAGGATTCTTTCTTGTTGTTTTTGTTTTATTTGTTTTTCTTTTCGTTTGTTTGTAACACACAACGTTTACATTAACAATTACCTCTGCTTTGGCTGCTGGTTGCTTGTTTGTTGTTATTGTAAATGACTATGTTGATGTTGGTGGTGATGATGACGTCGTCTTCGTCGCCGTCGTCGTTGTTGTTGTAACAGCCTCAAATATCAACCTAATTGAAAGGATGCATTACATTAGTACAACACTGTGAAAAAAATCAAATCCTCTAGCAGTGAGAGGAGAGAGAGAGAATAAAAGAAAAGAATAAAAACAAATTTCTCGTGAACAATAATTGAGAGAGACATAAAATTATTGTTGCCAGTTCAAGAGTGATGCTAATGCGACGCTTTGTTTTCATTTTCAGTGATTTTTGGCGCAGCCAAGCCAATTGTGTGTTGAAACTGACAGTTTTGCCTGAGAATTAAATTGTTTGAAACAAGTGAAGTTAGAAATAACAATTCTATGGGTCTCGTGGTTGGGAAATAATAATATTTCATAATATTACCCCTCCCTTGCATGAAAAAAGGAAAAATAACAAAAATAGTAAAATTCCATCTTTTGGTATTTTCAAAATAAAACGCTAACCTTTTTAAAGTTGACCTAAAAATATCATAAGAACAATTTGCCAACATTATTTAAGCAAAAAAATGAAAAACAGAGAAAATGAAAAAACATTGAAAACGAACTGAAACTCCAATAAATAGCGGATTGTAAACTTCAAGATAGTTTTACTGGCTGTTGAACTAGTTTAGCTTTAGGCCTAAGAAAAACACTTTTGTATATGCATCGATCGGAACCTTAAAATTTAGGGTATGGTGGCTGTTTTTCGTAAACAAAATCTTGAATTCTATATGTAAGGGGTACCTGAAGAAATAGTCCGATCGCTACCATCATTATAATGGAACTCGTGTTGATAGAAACATTGAGATGTCTGAATGGAATCGGATGTTAATTTCGCGTTTTATGAGCTTCTTTGATATCAAAAAATGTTAACCCTTTGTGGGGGAGATACCAGAAGAAGTGGATCCATCCATAATCCATCTTCACACCAGACCATGGGTAAATGAAAACATTGCGATGTGTTGAATTTGAAGACAATCTGCCTTTTAAATCACATTTTATAAGATTTATAATTATTCAAAATTTCTACCCTTTGTGGGGGAGGTATTTGGGGGAGATATTTGGGGGAGGGTACTGTCCATATTTGCATTCGCATTCCATTTTTATACCCTACAACACTATGTGTTGGGGGTATTATAAGTTTGATTGGGCCAAAAATTATGTAACACCACGAAATATTAATTTCCCATATAGGAAAGTATATATGGATCTTTCTATTCTCGCCGAGCTGAGTCGATCTAGCTATGTATGCCCGTCCGTCCGTCTGTCCGTCTGTCCATGTTAATTTGTAATCACTCTACAGGTCGCAATTATGGTCCGATCTTCACGAAATTTAAAATGGAGGTGGGGCTAAGGTCTTTTGGTGATGATCGCATAATAATTAGGTGTTGAAATGGACCAAAAACTGAAAAAATTCCTGATTTTGCACTTGCTTTACAGGTCGCAATTATAGACCAATCGACGCGGAATTTCGCATGTAGCTAGAGTTTAGGGCTGGCAAGAAGCCTACCCATTTGGGTGGTCATCGGATAATATTTAGCGGGTAAAATAGACCATATCTTTTTTGTTAAAAAAATTCAAAATTTTTTATTAAACCGCGAAAATTTTAAATCCCGGCGAAATCACAAAGCCATGACAAGGTTACTTCTGATCTTTACATTGATGTTAACATCCAACAAAACGGATATATAGCAAAATATGCGCGATATATATATGTTTATCAAAGAAGATATGCTTGAAAAATCTCTTATATGTCGAGAACGGGTGAACTGATTTCGACAGTTCTCATTAATTCAGAATGGCCTCTTGGCAGGAAAGAAAAACCGTCTAAAAAAATCTCATAAAAATATCTCTCTAAAGATGAAAATATTGATTTTGTAAATTTTTCTCATATTTTTTCAATTTTGTCATATTTTTGGCATACTTTCATTTTGAATTAAACATTTGGTAATATTTCTACAGCTAACAAAACTAAGTAGTTAGGATATCAGGATATCATATACAGATCGCATTTATGGCCCGATCCTTACGAAATTTTGCATGGAGATAAGATGAGGGTCAGAATAAAAGCCTATTCTTTTTGGAGATGATCGCCATATATTTAGGGGTTGAAATTGACCAAAAAACTGCAAAATTGTCAGCAGGTCGTAATTATGGGGGTTACCGGACATTGCAAAAGCCAAGCAGTTTTGGATGGCCATCGAAAAATATTCAATGTGTGAAGGAGTTTGCAAACTTTTATAGACAAAATACGAAAATGTCCATTCCAGTGACTTTTTGGAGAATTCACAAATACAGGAAAGACACACTTCTGACTATTTCGTTAACGCTGATTTCGTTGAAGAATATAGTCAAATGTCTGTATCTCATATAGATACGTTTCAGTCAAAAACGAATAATAAATGTTAATCTTTTGCCACTTCTGAGAGATTATAGGTCTTTGGGAAATATTGGTTCCAGATCTTGGAAGACCATTTACGTGCAATATATATCAATAAATTGGAAATGAGCAAATTAGTTTAAGTTGCTATTATTCGAAAATTAGAGAACGAAACCTGATGATTTTCTTTTATTATTTGTCACAATATCTTGTGGAATTCTTTCGAGTATCTCGCCTATATAAACTGCATCGTTTATTATAGTGTTGTAGGGTATTCAACGGTCGGCCCCGCTCGACTGTAGCCATTGCTTACTTGTTTTTTTAAATTTTGAATTTTTGTTGGTGATGTACCGGAAGCAGTGGCCCGATATTGCCCATCTCCGAACTCGATCTAAGTTTAATAATACTATTACGATGCATAAAGTTTGGACCAAATCGGATATTCCCTTCGAGAGTTATCGTGCACACAAGCAGAATTATCGATGTTGTAATGAAGATCAGTCAGAAGCGTTGAAAAGCTACCAATGCATCCAAAAAACGTCAAAGTGTGGTGCGGTTTATGGAGTGGTGGACCGTGTCTCTCCAAAGATGATGCGAATCGTAATGTAACTGTGAAGCATTTATTCGTGTTGGAAAGAGAATAGCAAAATTGGACTAGGCAGATGGACCATTGGAGGCACAGTCGCGGATAACATTTGAATAAAATAATCTTCAAACTTAGTCAATTCAGGTAAAGATTTTATATATATATATGTTTTTAATTTAAGTTGTATTGTATATAGCTCTTGTATATAACTCTTAAAAATCGGCCTTTGTAAGTCTTATTCAAGAGCCAAGTTCTCTATAAACCCTTTGGCGGAAATATATTATATTTTCCACCCTAATATTCTTCCAGTCAATGTTGGAAATACCATTATTTGATAAAATTTTTGTTTTAGGGATTTTCAGGATTACAGATATATTTAAACCAATCACGGCTATTTTTAGTATCATTATTTAGAGGACAACTATTTCCAAGTATATCCATGTGATTTAAAATAAAAGCAAGATGAAAGATTTCATGGATACCTTAGAACAGTAGAAGATCATTATCAGAATATATGGATTTTAATTCTAGACGTAAAATGTGTTCAAAATATCCATATATTCAATCTATTCAGCGATTTTTTGAAAACAAAGAGTTAGCAACACTGCTACAAACTGTGCATTGTCTTTCCGAGTGGAGTGAGATGAAGAGAAAGAGAGAGAAAATTAGTATGATTTCTGTGCAAAAATGAGATTAAAACATAAAACTCTGGATACCGACCGGCAAAATTGGAAAAATGTGAAAGACAAATAAACACAACAAGAATTTCAAAGTAGACTACAATTTTTGGAACACTACCCCCTACACACATAAACACAGTGCTGACAGCCTGGCTTAGTTAGCTGGGTCATTGAAAAATGGTAGGTGGGTGGCGGCTGGTGCTTGATTGCTGAGTGGTGGGGTGCGTGTATATTAGGGAGGTGGGAGGTGGTAGGTTGGCATTTTGAAAGCTTCCATTAAGTCAAAGTCACAGTGAGTGCGTACACATGTGTTACCGTCGTCATCGCCATCGTGTTTCTTGACTACCCATCCTTCCGGCCGTCCCTCTGCCGGCCTCTCCCTCTCTCTATAAATAGACTAAGCACATAAAACGGCAGACGATGTATTTTTTGAGCATTGTTTGCTAGACAACAGACACACCAGCAACGAACGACATGTTGAAGTGGGTGGCAAAATGGTAAAGTAAGAAACACCGACAATAACAAACTATGGCAAAAACAAACATGCACAAAAAACATACTTCATCGTTATTCGTTTCTCTCCTCCTTGTTGTTTTCAGAGAGTAGTGAGAAGTTTGTTGTGCTCAGGTAAAGTATGGTCGGGCGTTTTTTTTTTTTTGTTTGTTGTGGGTGGTGGTTGCTGTAGGTGGCAGTGTTAAAGTAAACTCCGCTGAGAAACAGAACAAAAAGAGAAGACAACAAAATGAAGTTTACAGAAAAATACAACAACAGTAGACAGAAACAAAAACCACACTACATGAGAAGAACTTCAAAATAAAACAACAAAAAATCACACATACCTACAAACACAACACAACAACAAACAAAATAGAAAACAGAACTGACATTAACAAATAACTTGGGGCACTTAAAACAAAACAAACCTAAAAATAATCAAGTAGCGAAGCCAGCAACGAACTTGTGCAATGTGATTGGTGGGTAGGTTCATGGGAATTATGAACGAACTCACGCACTCTGCACATCTCCGATAACTACTAATTGTTACAACATTTTTAAATTTATGGAAAATTACATTTTTTTTTTGCTTCTAGGTACTTCGAACTGTAAATTGTTGGAAAACGTTTTGGAAGGGACAAGTCAATTTTGGGAACACTTTTTATTTAGGGAGGGACACTTTTTCTATGTAAATGTATTCTTTCTGAAATATGGGTCAAAGAAATTCGGATAAAAATAAAATACATTGATTATGAGGAGTTTTCTTTCTAACTTTTGAGTGTCATAGATCCGGAGTTATAGGGTAAATTCAAGGATAATCCAGAGAGTAGTCCATTAAGGAAATTAAGTAACCAGAAAACATATGGAGCACTTGCCACACAAACCATTAAAGTAGTTTGGCTATGAACACA